AAAATTTGATGATTTAAGAAAATATAATCTTGATAAGGATTATAAAGAACAATTTACTAATAAAAATGGAAATAAACATAACAATCAAGGGTCAGAATTAGAAATGATGTTACTGAAGTACAGATATGTTTGTTGAAAAAACATCTTTCCCATTTCTTAAGCTTGTAAGAAGTAGACACTGTCACTAACATCCATTAAAATAGTTTACCTCCTTATCCAGGATCTATGTTTCACTAGATATTAGTTATGATCATGGAAAACACATTTTCTAATTCAATAATTTTAAAGCTATTGGTCTCTTTACCACAAGTGTGATGGCAAGTGGAAATTTTGACTGAAAGTACAAATATGTTGCTCTTAAGTCTGCACATAAACTTAAGACCTGGAAACAGTTCAACTTCACTTCAATTTATGTCATCTCCCTTCCTTCCCATTCCAATCACAAGGCAGTTTCACAGTCTAAGGGAGGATTAATATTGGTGTCAGGAGATAATAATTACGATATAAGAAATAGTGAATTAATGTGTTCTACTTATATACTTCCTCACCTCAAATTATGTTTCATTCAACCCCTGTCTTCAAATACACTGGTGGTTCATGGCCAAGGATTTTGAAGAAACAAAATGTGATGGCTTTAAAGGACTAAGCTTGCAAACTACAAATAGTAATTTTTTCTTCTATACAATTCTTCAGTTAATTAAGTCCTAGATAAGAGGTTTTGCTGAAAAAAACTCATCATAAGGGAAATTATGCCACATTGTAACCCAAAGAAGATGGGGAATGAATGAAAAAGTATAGACATTCAATTTCTTAATCTTAGATTGGGGTTCCCTAGTGGCTCAGACAGTAAAGAATCTGCCTGCAATATGGGAGACCCGTGTCCCATCCCTGGGTTGGATAGATCCCCTGGAAAAAGGAATGGCTACCCACTCCAGTATTCATCCCTGGAGAAGTCCATGGATGGAAGAGCCCGACGGGCTGCAGTCCATGGGGTTTGGAAAGAGTTGGACACCACAGAGTGATTATGAATAAATGTAAACCGTTTAAAGTGGATGGGACAAGACCTAGAGTTCAGTTGCTCAGTGGTGTCCTACTCTTTGAGACCCCATGGACTGCAGCACACAAGGCTTTCCTATCCATCACCAACTCCCAGAGCTTTTTCAAACCCATGCCCAATGCCTGGGTGATGCCATCCAACCACCTCATCCTCTGTCCACACTTTCTGCCTTCAATCTGTCCCAGCATCAGGGTATTTTCCAGTGAGTCAGTTCTTCGCATCAGGTGGCCAAAGTATTGGAGCTGCAGCTTCAGCATCAGTCCTTCCAATGAATATTCAGAGTTGATTGACTGGTTTGATCTCGATGTTCAAGGGACTCTCAAGAGTCTTCTCCAACAACACAGTTCAAAAGCATCAATTCGTTGGTGCTCAGCTTTCTTTAAGGTTGAACTCTCACGTCCACACATGACTACTGGAAAACCATAGCCTTCACTTTATGGACCGTGTTTGGTAAAGTGATGTCTCTGCTTTTTAATACACTGTCTAGGTTTGTCATAGCTGTTCTTTCAAGGAGAAAGTGTCTTAATTTCATGGCTGCAGTCACTGTCTGCAGTCATTTTGGAGCCCTCCAAAATAAAGTCTCATTGTTTCCATTGTTTCTCCATCTCTTCGTTATGGAGTGATGAGACTGGATGCCATTCAGTTCATTTCAGTTTAGGCACTCAGTCATGTCCAAGTCTTTTCTACCCCATGGACTGCAGCACACCAGGCCTCCCTGTCCATCACCAACTCCCAGAGTTTACTCAAACTCATGCTTATTGAGTCAGTGATGCCATCCAAGCCTAGACTAGACGGACCTTTGTTGGCAAAGTAATGCCTCTGCTTTTTAATATGCTGTCTAGGTTGGTCATTATCATAATGATAATATCAGATGCCATTATCTTAATTTTTTGAATGCCGAGTTTTAAGCTGGTATTTTTTATTGTTTGTTTGTTTTACTCTCCTCTTTCACCTTTAGTTCTTTTTTGGTTTTTGCCATGACAGTGGTGCTGCAGTAGAAATTACTAGGCAGTCAGTGTATAACTCTGAAACCTCAGTCTTGTTTTCAGTAAACATCCTGCTCCATTGTCCTGAATTCCTGGAATGTGTCTTTAGTCTGATAAATTATCAGCACTCAGATCCAGAGAAGAGAGCAGCAATTAAACTCTGTTCCATGTGCTTGAGGGAAAAACAACTGGTGATCCTTAATCTTAAATCCATGCATTTGGCCCATGGTAAAATGGACAGAGGGCATGAAAAAGGGGGGTGACTTAATCCAAGGATCAAAAGAAGTCATAAAGATGATGTTAAGTATCTTGACCTTTAAATTGAATGTTTAGAAATAATGTGATTTAAAGGAAGGGTATCAAAACCGCCTTGGGGTGACTCTTTATCCCCTCTCTATGCTGAGAGCTTTGCACTTTCCTCCTCTTTAATAAATGTTATTCAGTTACTACCATGAGTGTTTGCATGTTCATGGATTCCATTCTTTGCCTGCATGGACAAGAACTCAGATTTCTGTCTCATCTTTTGGGGGCTGGTCTGGAAATCCTGAATACCTACTCAAGGTAAGCACAGCACTCACTCTCAACTCTGTCATTCACTTCTTGTTACCTAATCTAGCTGTGTGGTCTCTTGAGCCACTCTGTTTCACAAGCCTGCACGAGTCCCAAAGGCAGACAGAGTCAGTAGACAGTGGCCTCAGGTCTCGGTATTAGCCAGCAGATTGACGGGGGTACTGAGCAAAATCTCTGCTAAGCTGCTGCCTCAGTAAGAACCACAGGACATCTACCATTTCTCTTTCCTAACATTTAGAGGTTATGAGATTTTTCACTTAAGGCAGGATCATTTTGGAGTGTGTGTAAATACTACTAACCTTGTGCACTACATAGCTTGCTTTAGGGGAACTCCAGTTCAGGCACACCCATGTTCAAGAGCACAGCGAGTCCACCAACCTAGGCTCTTACTCTATATCTATCTCTAGGTGGAAAGGAAGATAGAGACAGGAAGAGGACAACAGTCCAGGGTGACCGGATAATGATGATCAAGACCAGGTGCACTCCAAAGTTGAGGGAAGCATACTGTATAGGTGTTTCTTTGCTCCCACTGTGCAAGGTGGGGACACCCTCTATTAGAAGAATCGGAGAAAAGACAAAGAGCACTGGGCGCTGGTCTTCTGTCTTTCAGATGGGAGCAACCTCTTCATGCCCTACACCCAGCTCAAAGCGGATGCCTTTGGCAAGTATACTGAAGAACTAGAAGTTTAACCCTTAGACCGTGGTAAAGAAGAGTATGATCTTTTTCTGCACCAAGGCATAGCCTCAATAGGATCTATCTGATGGTGAAAAACGGCCCGCTGAGGGCTCATTTGGTTATAATACCATCCTCCAACTAGACCTATTTTGTAGACAAGAAGGAATATGGTCAGAAGTGCCATATATACAGGTTTTTGTCTTGAGAGAGAAAACCCTCTAATCCAGGAGTTGTGGGCTTGCTACTTCCATGCTGCCTATAACTTCCTCCAAGTCCTCAGGTCCAAACTGTCGCCCTTAACCAGAGCTGCCCAAACCTAGCCCACAGGAGCTTCCACAATCTCTGGTAATGCCTTGGGCACCAGCAGCAGCTCCTACCCCAGTGTCTCCTAACCCAACACTGGTGATCTCTAGGCTATATCCTTCCCTCCTTCCATTACAAGAAGCTCCTAATGGGGACTTGGGAGCCACAGGAGTCCATGTTCCTTTCCCCCTCTGAGATTTAAGGCAAATTAAATTAGACCTAGAAAGCTTTACTGAAGATCCTGACAATTATATGTTTTCCAGGGTCTAAACCAATCTTTAAAATGGCATGAAAGATATTATGCTAATCCTGACTAGCACCCTTACTGACGATGAAGTAAGTCGTAATTAAAAATGCCCAGGGATGGGGAGATGAATGGTATCCTACTAGCATGCAGGGGAGATCTGACAGTGAATCAGCCTGGTTACCTGCAGGGCTCCAGGCAGTGCCCATAGCCGATCCTAATTGGGCACATGACAAAGGCGGTGATGACTGGAAGTGAGTTCACTTGATCACTTGCATTAAGGAAGGCTTAACAAAATCACGAGCTAAGTAAGCCCTTAGACTACTCCAAACTATCTGGAATGACTCGTGGAAAAGGAGGAAATTCACACAGCTTTTCTGGAAAGGCTCGGGGAAGCACTGAGAAACTGACAATTATATAAGTGTTTTCCAGGGTCTAAACCAATCTTTGAAATGGCATGAAAGATATTATGCTAATCCTGACTAGCACCCTTACTGACAATGAAATAAGTCATAATTAAAAATGCCCAGGGATGGGGAGATGAGCACATATGCTAGTAGCACATATGCTATGCTACTAGCATGCAGGGGAGACCTGACAGTGAATCAGCCTGGTTACCTACAGGGCTCCAGGCAGTGCCCATAGATCATCCTAATTGGGCACATGATAAAGGCAGTGATGACTGGAAGAGAGTTCACTTGATCACTTGCATTAAGGAAGGCTTAACAAAATCACGAGCTAAGTAAGCCCTTAGACTGCTCCAAACTATCTGGAATGACTCGTGGAAAAGGAGGAAATTCACACAGCTTTTCTGGAAAGGCTCGGGGAAACACTGAGAAAGCACACTTATTTGGACCCAGATGCCCCAAACTTATCCTGAAAGACAAGTTTATTACTCAGTCAGCTCCAGGTATACAGAGGAAACTCCCAAAACTGGCCTTTGGCCCCCATATAGATTTAGAGGGCCTCCTTGAAGGAAAGTAATACTGCTCAAAATAGCCTGGAGTTAAATCTCCCCTCCAGGTCCTCCCCACCATTCTATGCAAAACAAAGATCTCTGACCTGAAGAAAAAAATGGACATTAAGGTTGATTATGCCTAGCTCGCAGCTGGTCCCAGCTGGTCTCCAGAATTCCTTACCCCGGCCGTTTAGGAGATAACTATTCCAAACACTTCCCTGGCTTCCCTGTAGTTCAGACAGTACAGCGTCTGCCAACAATGCAGGAGACCCGGGACCAATCTGTAAGTTGAGAAGATCTCCTGGAGAAGGAAATGGCAACCCACTACAGTATTCTTGCCTGGAAAATCCCGTGGGCGGAGGAGCCTGGTAGGGCTACAGTCCATGCGGTCGCAAAGAGTTGGACATGACTGAGCAACTTCATTCACTCTAGACAACCTTAGAGAAGAACAGGCCCCCTTAACAGTAGATATCCACATATATGCCTATGTATACTTACTCTTTCCTTGGGTTAGTGCAGCAGCTCACTAATCTGACTGCTTCCCCTTCTTGCCTCACTAAAGGTGAATTTGTTCCGTAAAGTGCCGGTCTCCTTCTTTTTCTGAACCTCACCTCCTCTAACTCCCTTACCCTACACTGGTAAGAGCTACCACATCAGTATTCTTAAATCGTAATCAGGATGAACCTAAGGAAAAAGAGAATAGCGATAAGAGAAAGGCCGAAGCTCCCATTATGGCCCTACAGGGAGTTAACTTTAGGGCTACAAAGGTGGGAGGACACAAGCAAAAACCTGGAGTCTGTTTCTGCTGTGGCGAGGATGGAAACTTTAAGGGACAATGCCCCAAAGGCAAGCAGAGGCCACCCCCATGGCCCTGCCCCACTTGCAAGGGAGATCACTGGAAGAGTAACATCCCCAGGGATGCAGGGTTCAGAGGTCAGAAACTCAGATCCAAGATCAAGATTGACAGGGCCCGGGGCTTCCCATTTTGGCCCCTGTCCTCAGCACCACACAGGAGCCCCAGGGGACTCTAACTGGAGGAAGCCATCCTGTTAAATTCCTACTTGATACAGGAACCACTTTCTCAACCCTCCTGTGTAATCCGGGTTCTCCTTCTACTAACTCAGCTACTAAATATGGCATTTCTGGAAAGCCATTACAAAATTCTTTACACAACAGTTGAGCTGTGACTAGGATTCTATCATTTTTCTCATGTGTGTATGTGCATGTGCTCAGTCGCGTCCGCCTCTCTGACTATGACCCCATGAACTGCAGCCCACCAGGCTCCGCTGTCCAAGGGATTTTCCAGGCAAGCGTACATGAGGGGGTTGCCATTTCCTCCTCCAGAGGATCTCCCCCACTCAGGGATAGAACTTACATCTTTTGCAACTGCCTGCTTTAGCAGGCTGATTCTTCACTACTTCACCACCTGGGAATCCCAAGTGAGCACAGGGTGCCTGGCGTGCTGGGCGTGGGGTGAAGGGCGGTGGCAGTGAAACCCCACGAGGTGAGGAAGGGGGACGGCGATCACCCCGGGCCGGCCGACCCACTCCACCCGCGGCGAGGCGGAACGATCCCCCATGCTCCGTCCAGGAGGGACTCAGCGGTTCTGCCCCGAAGTTCTGATGGGGAGACCCTCGTAGAGGGCCTGGCGGGCTCGGACGTGGGGCCAAGGACACCAGCCGGGCACATCTGGGACAGCAGTGGCACCCTCGCTTCCACCCCCGCCCCCCAAGGGGGCGGGCGGTACAGGCACGGCAGCCAGCCGGGGACTGCGCGCTCAGGCGAACGCACTTCAGCGCGAGAATGCTGGGGGCACGTGTGCTCCTCCTGGTCCAGCACGTGACAACGTCGGTGGACAGAAGATGGCAAAGGGCAACGGAGCAGGGCCAAGGTTGGCCCGGCGAAGCGAGACACACCAGAGCACAGACCTGGGGATCAGCAGACAGGACGGACGAGTCACTGACCATGTAGACCCATGTGCCAAAGACGCGGCAGTGGCACAGACCAGTGCTGGAAGTGGTGTGGCTGCGAGCGACAGCGAGGGGCCCGGAAGCCATTCCAAATGATCCGGGACTGCTTCCGGGTCACACCATGGGATCTAACCGCCGGAAGCCTCCAGCATAGGAGCCGTTCCCTGGGCCCCAGGACGGATACTTCCCTTCCTGAGCCCATGGGGCCCCCTTGTTGGGGCTTGCACCCACCACCGCCAACACCCAGAGCCCCAACAACTGGTCACGGAGAACGTTCTCCCGCCGCATAACGGCGCCTCCACAGCCCTCACGCGCAACCTGCTGTGCCCAGCTTCACCCCTCGGGGATCGAGGGCACTTCTCTGCCCGGGAACGCCACCAGCCACGGAGGCCAGGGAATGACACCCACATGAGGTGAGGCCGGTTAGGTCCTAAACAGGGGAAGGGGGCACTGGGCGGTCACCTGTGTGGGGCAGACTAGGAGGAGGGAAAGCCGGCAGTGAGAGGGAAAGGCAACAAGCCCGCACAGGGAGGGTGGGGGGACAGGGGCACGTGCGCCGTCTGGTGATCAGAAAGACCGAATCACGACCGGCCACCTGGAAAACGAGGGTGCCACCACCACACACACGAGGCTGGTCCCGTGATGCCTGGGACTCTGGCCAGCCTCTGCCACCCTCAGAGTCTCCCACGACCTAGCTTCGCCACCAGGCCAGCGGGCCACAGGCCACCTTGTGTAGCTGAGGGGCCCCCTCCACCCATCTCATCCATTCATCTGCTGCAAAACCCCCATCCTAGGAAGAGATATTCTATCTAAAGTGTAGGCTTCACATGGAATAAAGTTATGCTTACCTTTGACAGAAGTAGAAGTTAACCCTGAAGTCCGGGCAACCGGACAAAAGATAGGAGCCATCTCAGCTCAATCGGTACAGTTCAGTTCAGTCGCTCAGTTGTGTCCGACTCCTTGTGACCCCATGAATCGCAGCACGCCAGGCCTCCCTGTCCATCACCAACTCCTGGAGTTTACTCAAAGTCATGTCCATCCAGTCGATGATGCCACCCAGCCATCTCATCCTCTGTTGTCCCCTTCTCCTCCTGCCCCCAATCCCTCCCAGCATCAGGGTCTTTTCCAATGAGTCAACTCTTCACATGAAGTGGCCAAAGTATTGGAGTTTCAGCCTTTCTAATGAACACCCAGGGCTGATCTCCTTTAGGATGGACTTGTTGAAACTCCTTGCAGTCCAAGGGACTCCCAAGAGTCGTCTCCAACACCA